TAATATCAAATGCGACGTTGTTGGATTGCTTCAAAATTTTGCGTGAATTCGTCACTTGCGTTGCACAAACAACATCCTGTCAAAAAATCCTTCTGGCAGGATATTTGTGATCTCAAATGTAATCATTATAAAACATCCGATAACAAAGAATTACTTTTCTCTGACAGTTCAAAAATTCAACTCAAGTTATAGGTAGAACATTCCAAAACGGTACCAAAAGGTACATACCATGTCTTGCCAACGTAAAACCTACGAAGAGAATAGATTATTAAACTAACACAACTATCAGGAAAGAAAACAGAAACAAACTAAAAACGCTTATGTTGACTAAGAAAATCCCACACTCTTGGATGAATTTGAGAAGTGAAGAATCGGAATAAAACAACACATGAGCAATAAAAGTCCGAGTGTATCCAGTGTCCGAGATTTACTGTCGGCGATAATGGAAATTCGTGATGAGGGTGTCGTTTTTACCTTTTATCCATCACGCGTGAACTCGATCCTCGACGTATTCCTCAAGATGAACTTGTAGGGTTTCGGGCAGTTGACGATGAAGCTCCCGTCGCCCTCTTTAGAAGGAATCGGATGTCCTTTAGTAACGCAGAAAAAAAACTTCTGCGTGAATATCGCCACGAAGAGAAACAACTTCATCTTTGCCAGGGTTTCCCCGTTGCACTGCCTCCTTCTTGCAGGAGCAAAAAAAAGGATCATCTCCATCTCCTTTGCGAGTGACAGTTACGGATCGGAGGTCCTACCGAGCGAATGAAACTTCTTTGACCACCGTCAGCCGATCCAGGAATTGCTGGAGTTCGGGGTCGCCGTGCTCGAACTGCTTTCCTGGCATGACGAGCAACGAAAGGACTTAGAGGTGCAGGACCTTTGCGCGCTTACGTAATGAATAACATTTAAACTGACTCGGAAAATTATTTTGAAGCCGTCACGTAAATTTTTACTATAGATATTTCAAATATCCAGAAAATGTCTGGATGCTCCACTTCATTTAGCATCATAAATTTTCATCATAAGAAAAAGGAACTACGACGGCCTGACCTGCAGTCAGCTTCCAAATGATATTGAATATAACTAAGTTGAGGGGATGCTGAAGACTTTGAGGCTCCTCCTTGTTCCGACCGAGGACTTCGCAGAGTTTGAGAACTTCTTCGATGATCCCGTTGAGAACGGATGCCTTCCCCAGTCCGAAGTCCCTGAGGACCTGAAGGGTGAATCCGCGGTTTTCGCGCCATTGACTTCTGGTGGAGCTCATCAGCCCTAAGTTGGAAACTCCATATCACTTTTTTGTTTCATGTGCTCTTTTTTTGCTGTGTGGACCTTGTGATGCACCAACAAGCAGGGGAATAGACTGAATCCTCTGGTTTTCCCCGGTACTCAACGATAGGAACTCTTGTGTCCCAGCTCTAGTCTCGAGGTGATTCGAGTCTCCAGACCGCTGTTATGATGTGACTTAATGAAAGACTTTGGGTTTGATAGCGGTTAGCCACGTTTTCATTGGGATTCAGTAGTTATTTACAGTAATATGTTGGGCCTTGTCCACCCTAGAAAATTTCCTAAAATGAAAAGGGAATCCAGATCTCAGACCGTTGTTTCCGCCGGAGAAAAGCCGGAGGAAGACAAGGTCGGCCCTATCGCCGAGCTGAGGCCTGCCGAATGCCTCCCGAACGAGGCGCCATTCGTTGAGGACCACCACGTCCTTTCCCGGCCAGGTTCATGTGGAAAATGTCGCCGTGTTTCTCCTTTAGGCGGTGGAAGTTCTCGAGTATGTTGCGACCGAAGAGGTACGGCATGTAGCCCAAGATGGGTTCTTCCCATGGTCCTGCAAGTGGATTTGTGAAATTAAAAATATTCTGTCGGCTATTAGTACATTATGTTAGCTGGGATTTTTCAGACGTATCTTCAGCTGGATCAAGGAAATTTCTCGCTGGAAATTGCTGCATTCCCAGCTGGAAGAAAGACAGCTCCTGCTAGAATTTGCTGCATTCCTAGATAGAAGCTGGAT